CCTGACCTCCACTGTTTCTGATGGGAAGTATGCTGTTATTCTTACTGTTGTTCACTTGAATGTCATGTGTTTTTTCCCTCTGGCTACCTTTAAGATTTTCTTTTTATTTTTAGCAGTTTGACTATGATGTATTTTGGTGTGATCATCTTTGTACTTATTTTGCTTGAGGTTCACTGAGTTTCTTGAATCTATAGATTGATGTCTCTCATCAACTTTGGAAAATGTTTGGCAGAGAAAATTCTAAAATATTAAATATTCTAAATACTTCCTCTTCTTTCCTTCTGGAATGTAATTACACATCTATAAACTGAGTGATATTGCCCACTGGTCTCTTCCATTTTTCAATCTTTTTTCTCTCTAAGCCCCAATTTGAATGATTTCTATTGACTTGTCTTTCAGTTAACAGATCCTTCTGTTCTGTTCAGAATGCTTTGAAACATTTCAAATGAATTTTTCATGTCAATATTATATTTTTCATATCTAGAATCTCCATTTGGTTCTTTTTAGTTTCCATTCTCTTCAAAATTCCCATTGTGATCATCCATTTTGTCCTCCTTTTCCACTTTGACACATTTATGATAGTTATAACGTTCCAGTCTGCAGATTCAAACATTTGGGTCACCTGTGGGTTTACCCCTATTGTCTGTTTTTATTTCCCCATGAATAGCAATTTTTTATTATATGATGGGCATTGTGAAGGATATGTAATAGAGACTCTGGGTTTTTTTTGTTTTTGTTTTGTTTTTGTGGTTCGCGGGCCTCTCACTGTTGTGGCCTCTCCCGTTGTGGAGCACAGGCTCAATATGCGCAGGCTCAGCAGCCACGGCTCACGAGCCTAGCCGCTCCGCGGCATGTGGGATCCTCCCGGACCAGGGCACGAACCCGTGTCCCCCGCATTGGCAGGCGGACTCTCAACCACTATGCCACCAGGGAAGCCCGAGACTCTGGGTTTTTATATCTTCCTCTAAGAACTACTGAGTACTTTTCTGGAAGGCAATCAACTACTGGAAGATCATCTTGATTCTATAAAAAAGTTTGAGGATAGGTCTGTTTCACTTTTTGTCCTTAGTCCTAGTAGGTTTAACCCTTACCCTTAGGACATGATCCTATTCCTAAGACCTGGCCTTTCTGGGATCTCAACTGAATACTGAGCATGTTCAACAAGTTCTCTCCACTTTAGCTGCATCAGACTCCAATGACTCTGAATTTGTGACTTCTGAAATCTCTATTCAGCTCTCAGCTCTCCAGCACTTGTTCTCTGTAATTTCTCCTACAAACTCCCCTTGCACGTGCACACTTTAGGATCCAGCCAAGAACCTGAGTGGAAAACCTACACAGATTTCTAGCGCTCCTTATCTGCTGCTCCCTCCTCTCTAGTACCCTGCTTTACAAATTCCAGGCACCTTAGCAGCCCAAAACTCATCTGTTTCCTCTGCTCAGCCTCTGCTTCCTCCACCCAGAAAGACTGTTACTTTCTGCTTGGGTTTCACGTCTCTGTGCCAGATTTGCTGCCAGACAGAAAGCTATTGTAAACGTGGAGCTCACCTCTTGTGCTTCCCTTCTCTTAAGGATTGCAGCCCTCCAAATTCCCATTGTCAAATACCAAAAAATATTTTACTAGTTTTAGGGTTGTTTAGAAGAGAAGAATAAATCTAATATCAGCTGCTCCAGCACGGCCAGAACAGAAATCCTCTACTATTCATTCTTTGATATGAGTTTTGGTTTAATATCACTTACCCAACAGCTTTCCAGAACAATTAAACTAGGTTAAATCCACTTGCTATTCCTTTTTATTTTTTGGTGTGTATGTTTTTATTTTTAACCTAGATCTACTTTGTAAGCTCTAGCAAATTAACGTCCTAGAGTATATACAGTATAATTTTATTTTATCCTAGTTAGGTAGTACATAGTTTAAAAGTCAAACAGTTTTACAATGGCTAAATCAAAGAAATGTTTTTTCTTCCACCTTGTATTAACTGTTTTTTCCCCCTATATTTTAGGATGTTTCAACATGTATATGTATAACTGATTCACTTTGTTATAAAGCAGAAACTAACACACCATTGTAAAGCAATTATACCCCAATAAAGATGTTAAATAAAAAAAAAAAAGCTTGCTGGCCAGGGAGAGAATTTCCCTCCCCGGGCTAGCCAGATCCTAGAGATAGCAAAGGGCTTGGCTTGATAGTACCACATCTTTCATAGGCTAACTAACCAATCTCAAGTCTATAGCCCTAACCACCTCCTTATCTCTCACAATTTCCCTTGCCCTAAATCATCCCAGGGCCAGGTACCAGGCAACTAGAGACTATACTACAGCCCAAAGCCTGCTGGAATTATTCAGACTAGTCAATTCTAAACTGTTGAATCCCACCCTGCATTACCTTTCTCAAGGAAACCCCAATAAAGGCTTTGGCTTGGGCTCTCCCCTTGCTTCCGTCTTCTGCCTCCTGACCACCCTGAAACTTCCGGGGTGGTGTGGTGTGGTGTGTCCCTTTTTCTCAGGAAATATAAATAGTAAATTCTTCTTTCAACGGCATTACCCTCTCTATGTCGTCATTCAGTCATACTTCCATAAATTCAATCCCAGGTATAATTTAGTACACTACCCAACCCACTACCTAATTTTCACTCTTCAGAAGCCACCTTTCAACCTTTTTAAGGGATTTCTCTGGTTTGGGGCATAAAATCATGTTACTAATTACTTTTTTTTTTCTTTTTAGTTTTTAGATACTATTTTTTTAACTGAAGTATAGTTGATGCATAATATTATATAAAGTACAGGTGTACAATATAGTGATTCACAGTTTTTAAAAGTTATACTCCATTTATAGTTATTATAAAATATTTGCTATATTCCCCATGTTGTACAATATATCCTTGTAGCTTGTTTTATACCTAATATTTTGTACCTCTTAATTCCTCACCCCTATTTTGCCCCTTCCCCTTCCCTCTCCCCACTGGTAACCACTAGTTGGTCCTCTGTATCTATGAGTCTTCTTTTTTGTTATAGTCACTAGTTTGTTGTATGTTTTTAGATCTCACATATAAGTGATATCATACAGTATTTGTCTTTCCTGACTTATTTCACTTAGCATAATGCCCTCCAAGTCCATCCATGTTGCTGCAAATGGTAAAATTTCATTCTTTTTTATGGCCGAGTAGTATTCCATCATGTGTATGTACATGCATATATGTATGTATGTATATATATCTTCTTTATCCATTCATCTGTTGATGGACATTTAGGTTGCTTCCATATCTTGGCTACTGTAAATAATGCTACTATGAACACTGAAGTCATTTATATATCATCTACTGACTGCTTATTGTGGAAGAAAAATATTCACTCTCAACATCCTCCTCCCACAATTTTCACGTTTCTTTTCCCCTCAGTCCTCCAGTATATTATATATCATTTTTTTGTTAGAATAATACTTAGTGTTTATATTATTATGTATATGTAACTATTTTTCAGGGTTTAATAATATACTTACAATGATCGTATTTCTTGCCCTGTATCATTTTTTAATTTCCCTGGAGTTAATATGTGTCTTGCTTTTTTAATATTTCTTTGTTTGCTTGTACAATTTTCTATGTAAATATTACTAGGTCATTCCCAAACTCTCCATTAGAGTTCCACTAAAACTCTCCTCTTATTATACTCAAACTAATAGCGCCTATTAAAATAAATATAGGAAAAATATTTTGATTATGCTAAAAATCACCCTATTAATTTATATTGTTTTCCAGTATTAACTTCAAGTTTTATTTAAATGGACATATAGCCACAAAATTATTGAAAACTTGGCAATGAAGTCTAGGAAAATTACTGGCAAAGTAAAAGAAATAATATGGATTGCCTCTAGCAAAACAATGCTTTTTTTAAAAACTATGTTTAAAGAACTGTCTTCAATACTCAACAGTTAAGCAAAATGAAGTTTGAAAAAAAATATATATATACGTATATATGGTATAGAGGAAATGTTTTAGGATTTCACTAAAATTCAACTAATGTAATAAAACTATCAGGAAACAACTGGACAAATCAAGGAATCCTACAGCTAAATGAAATAGTGTCACTCATTTTAAAGACAACTCTGAGATACATTTAAGATTCTAAGAAGCTTAACTGTAAACAGAAGCAAACTCAGCATAGCAAGCTCTGGTGTGAGAGGTGGTTTAATGAAGCCAGTTTGAAGCCAGACTGACTGCATTCTCAGCTCCACCAATTACTAGTTCTATGACCTTAAGAAAGTTCTTTAAACCTTACAGTATCTGTTTCCTCATCTGCAAAATAAAGATGATAATAAGAGTATATATATATATATATATATAGAAGGGTTATAAAGACTAAATAAGCTAATCCATGCGAAAGTAATTAGAGAGTCTATATAAGAAGAAAGGAGAGAGGGAAAGGAGGAGATGAAAAAAAGGGTGTGCTATGCACTGAACGTTTGTGTCCCCTCAAAATTCGTATGTTGACGTCTAAATCTCCAATGTGATGGTATTTGTAGGTGGTGTGTTTGGGAGGTCACTAGGTCATGAGAATGGAGCCCTAATGAATCTGATTACTGTCCTTATAAGGAACTTCTCACCTTCCAGAAAGGTGAGATATAAAGGTTTGTTGTTTAGGCCACCCAGTCTATGGTAATTTGTTATAGTAGCCCATGCTGACTAAGGCAGGTGTAAGAGGGCAAATGGGAGGGGAAGACTAAGACAGAGAAAAATGCATCCATGTGTGATAAACACTCAGAATCACCGACAGCAATATCTCAGAGAAGAACACCATGATTATGTATTCTATAGTAAACTCTAAAAACATCAATATAGCCTATAATACAGAAATAAAATACAATAAAATACAATAAAATAAAATAAATAAAAGAACATTGCTTTTGTTTCTTTCCTGTCCCCTGGAAAAAAAAAGACACTGTTAGTGTTGAATGTTTGAAACTATAAAAATGCATTCTTTTATTTAGAAGAGAAATTTAACATTACCTGTACAGAAAAATATTTCACTTCATCAAATGTAATTACAGTGTCCTCTTCATTGTTTGGGGGTAGCAAGCTATACTTTTTTGTACATTTCACCACGTTGTTAATAGAGACGCGAATGAACAAATTACTGTAATGTTGTAAACTGACTGAAAATACATATTTAGGAAGCAAATTTTATTGTAATTGAACAGTAACACATTGTAAAATTAATCAATCAAATAAAGAAAGAAAGAAATTATACAGCATATTAAACAATAAGGAAAGTCTTTTAAAATAGTATTTTTGCCCATCAGTGGTAGGTACAATATAAGTACGAAAAGAACGTTGATTCTTCCTTAGATTACTTCTCATATTTTTATCCTCACATTTCCATTATAATTCTTTTGCAAATTTTCCTATATATTATTTTTAAGGTGACTAAACATTTCCAATACATACTTGAAAATTTTTTCCTAAGCGTAATTACACAGAAATTTAAAACTTCAAAAAATGTCACTTCAGAGTAATTTATTCTTAATTTTAGGACAACAAAATTTAAAGCAGCATTCTACTTTGCAATCCACTTCACTATATACTTCACTTATACTCTATTGGTCTGTATTTTTATCTTTCATAGCACTCCATGAATTAAAAGGAATTTGTTTTATGATTTAATTATCTTCGAAACTCTATTTAGAATTCTCTTCAATAGTTCACTTTATTTACAAAAGAAACATCAAGTCTTCATAATGAGACTGGCTTTATGCCATGACAGATCTAATAATAAGCATTCAGCTATTTAAAGGCACCGAGAAAAATAAACCCTTTAAACAGTGTTTGACAAGCAAAGTTATTAAATAGAAATAAATTAGTATTATCATCCAAGAAGATACGTATATTTTCTTTAACTTACATGATGATCGAGGTGGATTACAGATAGCTAAAAATCTTTTGTCACTCTCCACATCAAAAAGTGGAGTTTATTTTCCTCTGCTCTTTAATCTGGCCTGGTCCTGTGACTACTTTAACATGCAACTGACGTGACCAGGGCTGAGACTAGGATAGGGTGGCACTACCCAGAGTACAAAATTTAAGTGGACACCAAAAACTTCAGTAATCAATATTTTAATGTAATACTTTTAAATCAAAATTAATGCAGAAAAAATGTTTAATGATGAAAGACAAGACCCTAGGACTATATGGAAAGAAAGGTCTAACCCTTTCAGCATCTCAGCTAAGTCCAGTCTTTCAGGCATTCTCACTAAAGGCACCAGACATGTAAATGAGCCGTTTTAGGTATCCCAGCCCTTTTGAACTGCAGCCCCAGCTGGGATAATGTGAAGCAGAAGAACCACCTAGTGAATGTACAGACAGTGATTGGTAATAAAATGGTTAATGTTTTAAGCCACTGAGTCTTAGAGTGTTTTGTAAGCCAGCAATATATAACAGAAACAGTGATATATGATCACAGTATGGTTCTTAAATCAAAAGAAAGGATACTCTTAGGCGTAAAATGTTTGCACTTCTTTACATGAATGGCTAGGCAGCCAACCTATAACAATCAAAATAAAAACACAGCAAATTAAGTTTTAAAAGTTAACTTTTCTTCCATTTTACTCTCACCAAACTACATTTTTTTTAAAGTTTCACTTTGTTAGTTTTTCTCATTAGAAATATTTTTTCTTATTAGAAATATCTAGTTACAGAAAACACCAGAAAGCAGAAAAATAGGCAAGATTTGTTCAAAGTAAACTTAAAACAAACAAGAATACAAAGAAAAAAATGGTTCATTTATTAACTTCAATCCAAATATCACTCTTTGAATCACTTTTATTTTACATTAGGTGAGAACTGATACAACATAGCATCTTGCATATAACAAGAAATATGCCTTGCTTCAGATAAGCTTTTTTATCCAGTATCCTAAAACCACTGTATTCATTCAACAATCATGCACTGACTATAATATGTCAAGGGCTGTGAAATACTCATTCTCTCTTGTACAAAGTGTTTCCAAATGTTAAGAAAAATTGTATCTTGTGTTTAACCATAAAATCAAGTACAAAATTAATACAAGAATACTTGAATACTATTAGCCAAATGTAAGCCATTTGATCTTAATTCAGCCATGTTTGGTCTTAAAAACCAAGTAAAAACAAGAGCAATATTATATTAAATATCTGTGAAACAAAATAAATGGCCCAATAGTAGTTTTAAATATAGCGTAAGTAATTTTAAGGATTTGGTTTTCAAACAATGCAGAAAAAGAAGTTAGCACTCAATATTTAATTAAAAGACTACTGTATCTGAATGATGAAATTCTAAAGAAGAAAATATTGTGGTCTACTTCTTAGAGAGACATAAGTATAAAATGTTATGTTAAAAGAAAGGTTCTAATCTAGGTGAGACTTAAAATGGTATTGCCATAGGAAAGTCCACGAACCACTGTTAACTTCTTAAAATTGGGTGCACACAAGGAGGGTAAAACAGGGAAATATAGCTATAATTTTGTTTTGCATAATTCTATATATAAAAATTCTGTCATAAATCACTGACTGCCTGTCAAGTATCTCAACATGAAGCCATCAGCAACTATCCTAATTTTCCTTATATTTCAATAGCTTTTTATACTTTTACATAAGAGATCCATATAATATAAAAAAGAGAATAAATTTCTATTCAAGTATAGAAAAAGATTTAACATTCAAAACCATAATGATGGGACTTCCCTGGTGGCGCAGTGGTTAAGAATTCGCCTGCAAATGCAGGGGACACGGGTTTGATCCCTGGTCCGGGAAGATCCCACGTGCCACGGAGCAACTAAGCCCACATGCCACAACTACTGAGCCTGCATTCTAGAGCCCACAAGCCACAACTACTGAGCCCGTGTGCTGCAACTACTGAAGCTCGCATGCTCTAGGGCCTGCGTGCCACAACTACTGAGCCTGCGTGCTGCAACTACTGAAGCCTGTGAGCCTAGAGCCTGTGCTCCGCAACAAGAAAAGCCACCACAATGAGAAAGCCTGCGCACTGCAATGAAGAGTAGCCCCTGCTCACTGCAACTAGAGAAAGCCCATGCACAGCAACGAAGACCCAATGCAGCCAAAAACAAACAAACAAACAAATCAAAACAAAAACCATAATGATGACCATTCACAGGTTGCAGATAACAAATGTTGCCACAGATTGTGAGACCCATCTGTGGCCCTAAGCAATAACCCTGTCAACACCTTGACCCCCAAAACACTCTCAAACATGCACTTAAAACAGGAAAGCTGGGCTTCCCTGGTGGCACAGTGGTTGAGAGTCCGTCTGCCGATGCAGGGGATGCGGGTTCGTGTCCCGGTCCGGGAGGATCCCACATGCCACGGAGCAGCTGGGCCCACCGGAGTGGCTGGACCTGTGAGCCATGGCCACTGAGCCTGCGCGTCCGGAGCCTGTGCTCCACAATGGGAGAGGCCGCGTACCGCAAAAAAAAAAAAAAACAGGAAAGCAACCACAGCTGTTGACAAAAGTACTTTATGTGCTCAATTTTAAGACATCATTTTCATTTTTTTCTGAAAATGGGATATGATTATTAGAAATAGGAGTAGTGGGTTGTGATGTAGTTATCATGGCCTACACATGCACCAACTTTGCCAAATCACAGAACATTCAAAGAGAAGGTGATGTGGCTGAATCACACACTGGGAGGAGCCATCAGTCACATGCCAAACATCTCTGTGTCAGAACTTCCAGCTAACTCTTAAGAGAAGCTTTTTGATGTCTAGCAATATGTAATTCAAATAAGGAAAATATGAACTATAAGGTTAGGAACTGTGGGAGAAATAAAAAGATTCTTCAAAATGTGAGTTCTAAAGACACGCAGAAGTCATATTCAAGAGTATGGATTTCAGAAACTAGTATGTCAACATAGTGACATGCATAATAGTTTATGGCCAAAAGTGATTTCAAAGAATCTTTTCTAAGTTTAGAGTCGGACAGTGAAGGCTTATACTTCAACTTTGATTATGATAGAGGGAAGAAAGTGTTATATAATTTTACGAGTAAGGTACACCACGGTCATTCTGTAAAAACAAAAGTGTATACATGAGTTATTCTTATTTTCCCCCTAAAAAGGTGGTGTTAAATTCATCATAAATTTTTTAATCAAGAAAATGTATTAGTACACAATAGGAACTAGAGAAGAGACACAAGAGAAACTCTCATTTCACAGCCACTAATTCTTCTGATAGTGTTTAGAAAATAAAGGTAACTGTGAGAGAATACCACAATATTTGATAGTTCTAAATATACATAGATCTTCACGGCCTATACTCTCTCTATAGCGCCCAAAAGAGAAAACAGACTTTTCTGGTTCTCAGCCTAGATATTAGGTCCCACCTGTGTGTGTGTGTACATGTATGATTGATGAGTATGTTTGTTTTTGTTTCTATGGTTTATTATTTTTTGGATGAGAGAGAGATGTGGGATCAATTATCACTCAAAGTTCCCTAAATCTGACAAAAATATAATTATCTGAAGAGTTTAACAAAAATACTGGTTCCTAGGCCCCATTCTCAGTTTCTAAGCTAGCGGATCTTAAGTGGGGCCCAAGAATCAATGTTTTAAAAAAGTATCCCAGGTAATTCTGATGTAACTAGTGTTTAGGAATCCCTAGCAGAGACATTTTTTCTGTGAATCAGGATGTTTTCCAAAATTTCAGTGATTATTAGAATGCTTTTCTGACTCATAAAAATGAAAAATTCATGAATATGTTTATCAGAGAGGACCGTTTTCTACACATGCTTTTTGACATTAAATAGTTTTCATATGAAATAAAAAATAATTTGTACATGTTTATTGAGGTTTAGTCATACATACCACATCGCCAAATGGCACCAAAGTTGGTGCCTCAGGTGTCACTTCTAGTTCTTTACTTTCAGACCCTTTAAGAGTTTTTCTCAGCATCTACAATGTAAATAAATTAAGACTTTATAAGGCAGAGAAGAATATAATTAGAAAAGATATTATACTTCAACAAAAATTTTATGAGCATCTAGTATCAGGTATTATATATTTTATAACTTATATTCTATGACTTGAAAACGCCTCACTAAGTTTATCATTAGCAGAGAAACGAAATGTGTACAATTAAATATAAAATAATTAAGGGAATTATGAGAGAGGAGAGAAGTACATAATAGCATAAACAATGAGTTCTCCTTGTTAACTAAAAATGATGGTCTTAATCTAATGTGGACTAGGTCCTGTATCCCACAAATGGCAGTAATCCTGCTTGCAAATTATTCCAATATTCCTTCAGTTATCAGCCACTGAAGGAACTGGAATTTAATCCTTTGGAATAGTAGGTACAGTGGAAAGGAGTAATGAACAGATGGCTTTTGGTTTTTGGTTGTGTGATCTCATCCAGAGTAACCCTACTAACTAATATTTCTGGGCTAATAATTAACTTTGTTCTTAAGGGCTCTGGTCACAACACATAATGGTTAGCGTTTAAAAATTACAAGACATTTTAATATAGACTTGTATGGTAAAGAGAAAGGGATGGGAGGGGAAAGGAGAGGAAGGGTGAGGGGAATAGTGAACAAACCGTCTATTAAAAATCTAACCTGAAAAGGAGAATTGTATTTATTCCCAACCTTTGCTGAACTTGAATCAACATGGCCTTATTTCCAAACAATAATTTCCCAGGAATCTTTGTCGTTATGTGTCTTTCAAGAATCGCTTGTTTAATTTTTATAGTATGTAATAAATGTAATAAATCCTTATTATGTTGAAAATTTTGTTTTAAAGTACAAAACAAATACTTTCAGTGTACTGAAAACATTTGTTTTATACATCTTGGATCACTTTGTTATTGCTGCACCTGACTGGCTTAATGTGTTTTTTTTTATATACATGATTAAATCATAGGTTAAGCTAACTGAATGACAATTACTGTACAAAAATTGTTGTATTTTTTGTATTGTTGCAAATACAAAACAACAATTGTTGCAAAAATATCAACCTGTGGACAGTGTATGTGTATTTAATATGGAACCTCATATTTTCTAATGTTTTAATGATCTTATTATGGAAGTCTACTTTGAATATGCATTTTAAAAAATACAAAATAATTGGGGAAAAATCCTTTAGAATACTAATACTCAATTTATCCTTAACAACCTGGTATTTTATACTTAACAATCCCTCGTTTTCTTACCTTTTTACTTTTCCTTCCTCATATGAGCAGAGCTCTCTCCAATGGCAGCAGCATGAACAAAACAACTCTTTGCCAAAATTCTATTAGAACCTTGAACAAAACTTCTAAAGGCTAGTCTCATAAAGCCTCTGATACCACCTAGAATTTCTCCTGAACCTGCAGAGAATTTTAATTTCAGTTAATTCCACTGTGCCTTTCCTCTCTGCTGCTTTTGGCCCCCAAAGCAGAACTTCCTCGCGGCACTTCTATTTTAAAGTCTGAACATTCACTCACATTGCTCTGCACTTCCTCCCCAGTGGCCTTTCTGGCCCACTCTCCCCCATTCCACAGTTTCTTTGAAAACCTACTAGCCTACATGATTACCTTTTCCTAGGATGCTCCCACTCCTAGCACTAATGGCAAGCTCACTATCCTTACATCAATTAACATTCGCTAATGTGCTGGCAGGACTATATGCCTGGCATTTTGCTGATTCCAGCTTGAGACGTTCCTGCCCTTCAGAAGTTCGGGCTGGTGTTGAAGACAGGTAACAAAACAATGACAGTTTCACTATAAGAAAAACAAATGCTGAGGAGAGAAAGTTTTATCTTTACTCATTCTCTACACAGATCTTATACGTGGAAAAAGAATGATTTATTTGATTGGTCAGACACTGCCATTCATTGTACAAGCTACAGGTGCATGGAATTCTTAAGTCTAAAGAGATGTTTTAAATCATCTTTTTCCCTGCCCAAGCTCAGGAGCAATGACTCCTTTTCACACTGTGTGGTTCTCTGACCCCATGAAACAAGACCACTCACAGCAGGGACCAAAGATTATTCTCTAGAGTAGCAGGAGAAAATATTAGAATTTTCCAACTTCTTTAACAAATATGAAAGTAAGCACATAGAGACGACTAGAAGCAGTAGACAAATATTCTGAGTAAAAGTGTGAGTTTCACACTCAGAGGGGTTCATATCAGTGCCCTCATGCTTTCGGGGTATTGCGTTTGCTAGTTAAATGGGTTGACCAATTACATTACCTTGAATAGTATTTAGTCTACTTTGCAAATAGATGAGAACTGATCGCAAGAAATTTCATGGCAAAGCATTTTTAAAAGTTGGCAAACACAAAGATGCATCATGCAGTTTGGTTTTATAAAAAGATAAATGTTGCAGTTTGCTAAACTTTTCTGTGATGACTGTCAGTAGTATATAAACTAGCAACTATTTTAAAATATATACTTCTCTGTCCTTTCAGAGTAAGGTGGTGACATTTTAATGAGTGTGAAAATAACTATCTTTTTGAAATAAACTCAAGTTAAGAACATCTTAAAAACTATTGGAAATATCTCCTTCTAATGTAATTTTATATGTGTGCAAATGTGTTATGAGTACCCTAGAAGCTCACAGTATCACATTTTAAAAACTTAGAAACACTTTTCTTATTTGTTTAAAAATCTCACAAATGAAGAGTTTCAGCAGGTTAACAGACCATTTTTCCTTGTAAATATAAAAAGACTGCAATGCCTTCCAAAGAGTTTACCGGAACTAATTAATCAGAGAAGTAACAGTTTACTCAAAAACTGTGAGCTAAAAACTTTGAATAACATAATAGAAATGAAAAGTAAGTACTGTGATTTACTAGGCTCAACCAAGATGCATCTCTTCCATTTGGAATTTCAAATCTTTAAAGGTACCTTTTTCAAATACAACAGCATTAAAAACCAAATACTGAAATAAATTTGTCTTAGAACCAGACCTTCAAATCACTACATCACAAAGTATTAAATCATGCTTTTCTAAATAAAGTAAAACTCAAAAATTAAAAAAAATCATGCTTTTCAAAAACAGTGATGCTTATTGAGTTTGTACCACTAATAAACAAAATATAATTAAAATCATTTTTAGAAGTATTGCTTATTTATCATTTTAAATTTTTGTATATTATAGAATTTATTAATTGCAGTACATTTATGTAATATATAAATAAATATATAAAACACTGGTGATAAATGTTCATATGTTTTTTATTGATAAGATTGTGCAATCAAAGAAATTTGGAGAATACTGCTAAAAAGTCACATCTAGGGCTTCCCTGGTGGTGCAGTGGTTGAGAGTCCGCCTGCCAATGCAGGGGACACGGGTTCGTGTCCCGGTCCGGGAAGATCCCACATGCCGCGGAGCGGCTGGGCCTGTGAGCCATGGCCGCTGAGCCTGCGCGTCTGGAGCCTGTGCTCCGCAACGGGAGAGGCCACAACAGTGAGAGGCCCGCGTACCGCAAAAAAACAAAACAAAAACAAAAAATAAAAAAGTCACATCTAGATGCCTATGCCTTGCTTTCCTAAATCTGTCTTTCCGGAGGCTTTAAGCTGCCAGTTCCCATTTGTATGCACACCTCGGCACAGTCTGCTCAGAATGAAGGAGGCTCACTTTCTCCTTTTGATAGCTCCACTGCCTTCAATATGAGATGGAGGTAAGAATTCCACAATAGTTTTCAGTTTTGACTCATCACCAGAAAGCCTTGGATAAAGCTGATATACTTAGTTCCCTATTTGGCTGCCCACTTTTCTGAAAATACTAATGGTCACAACTCTGGAGTAAAAGAGGAACAAAGGTTAATATTCCAGTACCAAGCCCCATTCAGGATGCCTACAAACTATCTCTTAAACACAGGGCAAATAAGGGGAGTGAGGAGAAAGAGTGTTAGGGAAGGAGATGATGATACTTCAAGTGGGTCTGAAGAAGTAAAAAATTAAGAACTAGGGGGAGAGGAGCCTAGACAAAATAAATAAGTGTAAAAGCATAAAGAAGCAAGGCACAGTTTATATTATGCCATATTTATATACTACACATAATTATATTATACTTAAGTATACATGCTTATATGTAAATAAGTATACATACTTACATATAAATATTAAATATTATTTTATTTTTATATTATGTAATATTATATAAGTTTATATTATATATAAATATACTATATAAATATATATAATTCATTTCCTCAAATTAAGCTATAGTTTCATGCAATCAAAATCAAAGTCCCAACAAGTCTTCCTATGGAAACTGATGAACTTTTCCAAGACAATCTCAAAGAAGAAAAACAGGATGACATAAAATTAAAGAAATAAAGGTATTATTTCTTAATCTCTAATGGCATTAGTACAAGGATAGACAAATGCACCAAAGAAACTGATTAGAGAGTCTGGAAACAGACCCACACATTTATGGACACTTCACTTGTGATAAGGATGGAACCACAGAATAGTGGGTCAAAAACATTCTCAACTGGGTTAAACAGAAATCTCCACACAAAAGAAAGAAGGAAGGAAGAAAGGAAGGAAGGAAAGGAAGGAAGGAAGGAAGGAAGGAAGGAAGGAAGGAGAGGAAGGAAGGAAGGAAAGGAAGGAAGGAAGGAAGGAAGGAAGGAAGGAAAGAAAAAAAGAAAGAAAGAAAGAGGGAGGGAGGGAAGGAGGAAGAGAGAGAGGAAGAGAACAAAAAAGAAAAGATCAAAAGGAAAAAAGAGAGGAAAAAAGACCTGACTTGTACCTCACAGTACATACACACAAAATCAGTCACAGGTGAATTTGTAGATCTCAATGTGAAAGGAAAAGCAATTAGAAGATAATATAGGAGAATATTTCCATGACGTTGGGGTAGCAGATTTCTAAAACAGAACACAAAGAACAATAAACACAAAGAAAGTCTGATACATTAAACTACATTAAATTTAATAACTTCTACTTATCAAAAAGACACCA